GAAAATTTGCTTTCTAGAAAACATGAAAGAAATACTACTGACAGTTAACTGATATTTTCAAGGAAGTATTTCTACAAATTTAAATAAGAAGCTCACAGATTAAAAGCAGTTATCGTTTAGTATTGCTAAGAAGAATAATAAGCAAGGACAGCTTAAGTGGCTAGAATCAGAACTGTTTTCTCTTAACTAAGAGACCAGCCGCCACAGTGCTGGACGAGTCCTTCAAAAGCTCTCATTTGCCCAGTTTTCTCACTAGCAAAACAAGACAACTAACTATATCTCTACTTGCAAATCTTGGCTATGAGTCTGCCAACTTTAAAAAAAAAAAAATGAAGCTTAAAAACCCAAAATGCTACTAAGACCAAATTAGTTTAAAGTGAAACATTCTAGTATATCCAACTATAAACCAAAGGAACTAGTACATCATATACAAAGTTCTCAAGCTTGGAGTGGGTTACATTGCAAAAGATAACTTTCTAAATTTTGAATGTCAAATACATTTGTAGAAATAGGAGTCAGCTAATTTATACCTTATTACTCAGAATCTATATGAATGTATCCATTATAATAATGCTATATAGTCTACATTTAACTTATAACATTCTAAGAAGAACTCTGTATCTAACGTATTTATAGCAATCAAAAGTTCTGAGTGCAACAATGAATGAATGGAAACCCAAAATCTCTGTAAATGTTTATGAAAAGTAATAAAATATAGGAAAAAAAAAAAGTGCTGGCAGCACAGTGCTTCCAATGCTTAACCAAAAGGTGGGAAGTTTGAACCCATTCTGTGGAATAGACTTGAGCGTTCGCTTTTGTTAAGACTACAGTCTTGGAAACCCTATGAAGCAGTTGTATCCTTACCAGTAGGGTCTATATGAGGAGACATCAGGAAAAGATGATAAATTTTATGCCATCTATTTTTTTACATTCAAGCCCATTTTGTCACATTTCTACTTTTCCCTGTCAATAGCTGTGCCACAATTCCAAAAGCATAGGGTTCTAATCCACCAGTTGCTCCACAAGAGAAAGATGGGCAATCTCCTTTCATGTAATTTATTGCCTCTGAAAACCCACTAGAAGGTCAGTTGTGTGTTGGTTCTGACTCAATGGCACATAACAGCAACAACAACAAACACACTAATCAGATACCAATTCATTGTATCAAGAAGGCCTTTATAATCAGGGTTTTTTAAGGTAGGATTGAATCTATCTGCAGTCTTCAGAAACTAGTAATTGTAATACAGAGTGAAACGTTGGGAAACCAAAGCTGGAGCTTAAATAATAATAAATTAATTTTATTAAAAAGAAATCCAAACTAAGCAGAATATGACACAACAGTGAAGATGCTTCTTAAATAATCTCAATTCATAAACTGCATGAATTCATTCAAATGAACTAAGATATCAACTTCATGAGCCTGATTCTTGCTGAGTAGTTCTTCCTCTTCAAAGAGAAATGAATATTCATTACAGAAAAAGACAAATGTAGAAAACAGAAGATGCAAGCTAGAAGCCTCAGCAAGTGAGCAGACATATTCATGTCAGCTATTCAGAATTTCATGTTTTCTTCACCCACTTCTAATATTTTAAAAAGCAATTATTCCACATTAAAAAATTTAAATGAAAGAAAATTTCCCGCTTTTCTCATAAACAGCGATAAGTATATGCAGAAATTCTGAGCTCATCCGAGTCAGATTATTCCCTACAGATATCCATAGGCACCTTCCCCACTCCCTCAGAGCCCTCAATTGTGTTATTGGGGCAGTAAGGTGGTGCAAGGTGTGAGAAAAATGAATTACAATTTATGGGTTTTGTGGCATGTTGTTTGTAAAGAAGGAATATTAACTATGAAATAAAACAGGTAAATAATATTTTTCTTTACAATTGTTTCTGGCAGCCATAAATTATGGTGAAAACAACAATGACACTACCCCACATCCACACGTCCACACGTATGCCCTCAGCCAGAATGTTCTCAACAACACTGAAGAAGGTGCAGACTTTCAAGTCACCAAACTCTCTGCAAAAAGGAAAGCATTTCCTATGAAAGAATGCTAACCAGACTGGCACTTCTGAGTAACTGCCACTTACCATCAAAGGTTCCATCTGTTACACCAATGTGTTCAGGATTTAATTTTTACTTAATTAAAAAACAAAAACAAAATCCCTACTACAAACCAATACCAGAGCGACAATTCAACCATCAAAAGAGTTTCTTTGTAAACTACAGAAGAAAAAAAATTAAAGATTCAGAGTGCTTGCAAGGTTTATGAAAAAGAGGTTTCCAATTTTACCATGATACCAATTTTCCAGCTACAAGTTGCTCCTAAGCATAATGAGAAGGTGGCAGAAACAATTCTATAAAGGTAAATTCTACAATGGGTAATTTCTTAGCAATTTTTTTGTATATATTTTATTCTGCAAGTCAAACCACAAGTTCAATGAAAGGTATTTTGGGTTGTTGTTGTTAGGTAACACTGGGTCAAGTGTGACTCATAGTGACCCTATGAACAGACCCTATCCTGTGCCATCTTCACACTTCCTGACACACTAAAGACCACTGTAGCAGTCACTGCGTCAATCAACCTGGTCGAGGGTTTTCCTCTCCTTCCTGACCCTCCACCTTTTCAAGAATCATGTCCCTCTCCAAGGAATAGCCCCTTCTAGCAACATGCCTGATGTGTGAGGCGAAGCCTCATCATCCTTGCTATTAAAGAACACATAGTCAATGCAACAAAAAGAATGGGATGTTAAAGGATTTCAGAAAACAGCACATGATCAAGAACTAATGAATATGGCCCAGCAAGCTTCACTGAGGTCACTGGCAAATAAAGAGGCTGCACTAACTGACAGACTACAAGTAAATCTAACACCAGAAGCACTCACTTGTCTTCACCAAGAAATTTGCAAGACCTTGCCAAACCAATTGAGAGTCATATGTATGCCCATTTTGGGGGGGAGGAGGGGAATACATGATCCAATGCAATATAATTACTGAATAATAATAACGTCACATGTAAGTAAAATTCTGCTGAAGATAATTTAAAAATGGTTACAATAATGCATAAATAAGGAACTCATCCAAATTGAAGCAAGAGTCACATTAGGACATGGAAGAAGATATATCAGATGGATCCTGCCTGGCTGAACGCTGAGAATACCAGAAAGATGTTTACCATGTTTTCTGCCTGTGCAGAGGCATTCAACCACGTGGTCCAGAACATATGATGGCTAACACTACTAAGAATGGGAATGCCAGAACCCTTAACTGTACTCATGGGAATGTACATAGATGAGGTTGTCATTTGAACTCATCATGGAGACACTGTGCAGTTTAACACTAGGAACAGTGTGCATCGAGATGGTATCTTTTCCCTTTAGTTATTCAATCTGTGTGGTGAGTAAATAAGAACATGCCAACATGAATGAATGAAGATTCATCAACTAATTATGCTATACAGATGACTTATCTTGCTTGCTCAAATAATAATAACTTAAAGCACATATTATAAGGCTCAAAGACTACATCCATCAAGTATGGATTACAATTCAACATTAAGAAAACAAAAATTCTCACAGCTGGACCAATAAGAAACATCATGGTAAATGGAGAAAAGGCTGACTATTTAAAATTTAATTTTATTATCACCCACAATCAATGCTCTTCTGGGGACTAAGGTGCACTTGACTCAAGCTATGTTATTTTTAAATCACTTCCCATGCATGGGAGAGCTGGGCAGTGAATAAGGAAAACCACACAAGAACTGACGCCTTTGAAACATGGTTTTGACAAAGAATACTGAATTTTATCTGCTAACCATGGACTGCCAGCAGAACAAAGAACTCTGTCTTGAAAGAATGGATCTTAGAAGTAAGGATGGCAAGACTTCATCTTCTATACGATGGACATGTAATCGAGAGGCCCAAGTCCGGAAGACATCATGACTGGTAAAACAGAGGGCAGTCAAAAAGAGAAAGAAGAAATGACTCACACAGTGAGCGTTCAAATGAGATCAGAGATGGCTCCTCTTGTGAGGACGACACAGGCTAGGCAGTGTCTCACTCTCATGTACGCAGTATCACTGAGTCAGAACCAACCCGATGGTCCAGAACAACAACATGGATCACTGTCATCGAGTATGCTACTTAAAGCTAATTCTCCTTTGAGGTTTCCTAGGCTGTAAAATGAAACAAATTATTGATAAAATCGGAATATTTACTAATGATGTAATAGTATTACTATTTTTAGGAAGTAATAATGTATTATGATTCTTTTTGAAAAAAAAAAAGTTTTTCTGCTTTACAGATACAAATAATAAAGGATATCATGACTGGAATACATCTCAAAATAGGTACAGAGAAGGGAATTAAGTAGAATTATGGACAAACAAGACTAACAATGCATGATGAGCCCCTGAAGCTTATACATTATCCAATAATTTTTTATTATCAACTTTTTATAATGAAAAGGGAGAAAATACACAGAATGTCTCCATTTTTTTTCCATGGAAAAAGGCCATGTGTGTACCTGTTATTAAATATAGTGTCTTCTGTGATTACAAAGCAGAAAGATGACAGAATTCTATATTATATATCAATAGTTATGGGTATGTAGAAATAGAAGGGTGACTAGTAAAACGTGTATAAGGATTCAAGGAGAGGAGGGAGGAGCAGAGGGTCATACAATTTGATGGGTGGAGGGAGGGGTGGGTAGAGGAAATGGTAAAGTTCCAGCGTAAAAAACAATGTATACGAACGCTGTAAGTAAACCAGTATAAAATAAAAAGTTTATTTAAAAATAAAAATAATTATGGGTAACAAGAAAAATTCTCAACAGACTATATCTATTGATACTTACCCTTTACTCAAAAAGGAATATTTCTACACCTTCACCACAAACACAGCAATACAAAATTAGGGGTGGGGTTGGAGGGAGGAAGAATAAATGATTGCTTCTTAGCATCATTCTGGAAGAAGCTGTTGGAAGAAGTCACCTACCTGCATGACTATTGAAATGTGCAAAGTTAGCAAAATTGGCGGTAGCTGTTGACTGAGGAGCTGGGGCCGCAAAGATGTCAGAGCCAAGATCACTCAAAAGGTCAAACTGCTTCTTTTCCTGTTGCTGGCCTTGAGATCGACCTACAACTGGAGACTACAAACCACACATTAGGTACAGAAAGTTTCCACTCACATCTGCTGAAGCTTGACAAGAAATTATTTCCAACTCACCAAGCTTAGCATATATCTTAAAGGTCACATAATCTTTTACTTTTGAGTACTCTGAAAAGCATACTTTCTCAACTTCTTATCAGAAGATATCTCTCAATTTTAAATACAGTCAAATGAAAAAAAAAAATTCTAGTTAAAACTCATGCTACAAGAGGACCACTGCCAAGCCAGTGCTATAGTGGAGCTTTCATAGGACAAATCTTTTACACACAGCATGAGAATAGTACACAGATGTGTATTATAGACCTATCTATGCAATATTGATAGATGGCTTACACAGATACTCTCCAAAGAACCATGCACAGGCCAGAACTGAATTAAAACCGTTCTAAACCTCAGAAAGTTCTAGTGTAAGACAGAGGCTGCAACGCACCACAGTGACAGAACGCTATAGTTCTGTCAACTGGAGTGAAGAGCAGGATTACAAGCTTTCAGTGAATCAAGAACAATGCAGAATGAACAATCACTGATGATTTAGTGATAACCATGCTTTACAATCAGACCCAGAGCTGAGAAACTCTTTCCACTCAAATGACACCACAGAAGGTATACTTTTCTAGCTCTGACCACTCCCATCAATGCTTATTTTACTCAGTGCATGCTACATAAAAGAGAACCACAGAGCTGTTGGAAAAGTCCAAGACATTCTCATTAGCTAAAAGAATATAAAATACATACACACTAACCAATGACATCCACTCTCTAAATGTACTCTAAACCAGTGCAGCACGCTGCAGTTGGCATAAAACGTTATGCTACTTTCTTAACGAATCCCAAGGCCCCCAGGGATGGTAAGTTACTCACCTGACTAGGTGTGCCCTTGTTTAGGTGCAATGATGGTGTTGAATCTCCTAACAGAGATTTCAAGGGTTTGACCTCAGGGGTGCTGCTTGTGCTACTAGCAGAGGACCCTGAAATTGACGCATGAACTGACGCCACCACTTTGGCTTGTTCTGGTGGAACATACCTGAAAGATGTAAAAATTGCACAACAGATAGTTAAGTAAGGAAGAGACAGGAATCTTATACTCCAAATAGCTTAATTCTAATTCTGTACAAGACATTCTGATATTAATCTTACTTAGAAACTCTTACTTAGAATTATTATGGCATGAAGAGTACACTTAATTGAAATACTCAGAGTAACAAAGACTAACCACAAAACTGGTTTCCATTATTAACCAATGTTTTAAGGTAATAAATAAATGATTTCTCAAATTGAGGGTCTATACAGTCCTGTCATCAGGGTAAATAGCTATTGCTGTACATTAGTATTTAGAGCTAACACATCTCAACACCATAAATAACATTCGGAGACAGAAGAGAATGTAGTGAAAGTACTTACAGTTACTAACTCTTGTTAATAACTTTAACATTGAGTTATTGATCACATTCATAGTATGTTTTTATATTTAAAGTGGACAGAAGTACCAATTCACAAAAGGAGACATACAAACAGCTAAGAAACGTATGAAAAAAACAGTAACAAAATTAAAGCAGGATTCCTTTTTTCCAAGTGTAAATGAAATAACTTTTGTTACTACCTATTGAAATAAGTATGTTCTGCCTAGCTATACCACTTCTAAAATTTATTAAGAAGGAAATTAGCTAATTTGTTACTGAAATAAACTGCCGATGAATCAACTCCCACTGATGGCTACCTTCAGTATAACAGAAGAAAAATGATGGCTTGTCCCATCCCAGCATCAGGGTCACTGGCAAGTTTAAGTCATATACCACTACTACCACTGACCTAGAGGGAGAAGGATCAGTGATCTCCTCCTGTGTGATTAACTGTCTCTGAAAACCTGCCAGAGTCAGCTATGGGTCAGTTCTGACTCTACGGAAAACAACTATTAATCTGTGTCATATCCTTTCAAAGCAATCAATCTTTTCTAATGATATACACAGATACATACACACAGCACTCTATAAAAAAACCTGAGAAATGAATTAACCATCCATCAGGAGAGAGCTACTTAATGAAGGGACTAGGTGAAAAAGTACTAGCAAGTCTGTATTTCAACACTGACAAATGTTCAGATGATTTTATCGATATCTTTCGGATTTGATCCCAGCCATTAAAATATGACTCATTAGAGGAAGGCAATGAAGTAAGATTATAATGCAAATATTGATAATGCTAATCTCTATTATTTATAGGAAACATCCTATCTCCCTCCTCCCTGACCCTAAAACAAGTAGGTGATAGTGGGAGGAAGAAAGAAAACAGATTAAGAACATGAATTCCAGCACAAAAAGTTGGAGTTCAAATCTCAGCTCCACCATTCAATGCCTGTGAAACCTGGGTACACCACCACATCTCACCATGCCTCAGATCCTTCAACCATGAATGTTATTTTGAGGTTTAAATGTTAACAATTACATAGTTCCCAGCATATGGTGTTTCACTATTATTACTATCAATTTACATAGTAATCAGAAAATGTTTTTAGTAAATGGGAGAAAAGAAAAACCATGCACATCAGAATGAATAAAAGAAGTTAGACTTGCCCAAAGTAGTAATCTAACTACTTCAGTTATAGCCTCATCTTATCAAAGAATAAAAACCAGGTAATAGTTTCGGTTTAAAAATCCATTTGACTGAAGCTAATCTTGCACAGTAAACTCCCAGTTATGATCCCACTTGTCCTTAGCTCAACACCTCACTGTGGAACAACTCTACTCGTAACATAGCCTTCATCACAGTCCCCTTCAGAGGCCGCTTTTCAAATACTGAAAGGCTTCAAGTCGTCCGCTGCATCAATACTCACTGTTCATATGAGCCAATTCTGACTCAGGCAGAATACAAAACAGAGTAAACCTGTCCTGTAAGAAAACAGGATGGCCTCATTGAATTCCTACGAGGTGGCCAATGGGTCGGAATCATCCTCTGGTTAGCCGTCAAATGTCATAAGCACAGGGCCACCAGAGTTCCTTTTTGCAATAAAATAAAACTAAGTAATAACTATGTATCTGTTCCACCTTACCTACAAAGACTTGCATAGAAATTTTTCTAACTTATAACCTGGGGACTTCCTGTACAGTTATTTCCACAATTGTTCAAGAAAACCTTCTATCACTGTGCATGATGACATGAGTGGGACTCATGCTGCCCACCCTGAGTATTTTCAGAGAGACTGCATTTGAGAAGTGCTTAGACTGCATAAAAACCCACTTCACAGCACTCTTGCTGTAAATGTGAAGGCATTTGGGTTAAAAACAATGGGCCAGGGCCCTCCTAAAGGTGGGACAGCTCTCTCTTCTCTCCCATTTATTCGTACTTGATTATTCCTCATACTACCTTTCTTTGACTCAGAAAAGCAAACCAAAACAAAACCCCAGATATTAGAATTAGCTCAAGTTTTCTGTCATCTGGGTTACGGATTAACTGATACAATTATTATGATACATGCTGAGAGGAGATGGAGATCTACTTATTCACACTCACTTTTCTCTTCCAGCAAATGTTAAACTACAGAAAATCCCAGCTAAGTCCTTACTAAACTGCCTCTGTTGTTGTTGTTATGTGCCATCGAGTTGTTTGCAACTCATAGCGACCCTATGTACAACAGCCCTAAACCCTGCTCTGTCCTGTGCCAATCGCACTGTCTCTGACACTCCCATCCCGATTATCCCAGTCACTGAATCAATCCACCTCATAGAGAGTCTTCGCCTCCTGCGCTGTCCCTCCACCCTGCCAAGCATGATGTCCCTCTCCAAGGACCTGTCCCTCCTTACAACATGTCCAAAGTATGTCAGATGAAGCCCCAGAATCCTTGCCTCCAAGGAGTAGCCTGGTTTAACCCTCTCTAGGATGAATCTGTTTGTTTTCTTGGCAGTCCATGGTACATTCAATACTCTTCTCTAGCACAACAGCTCTAAACTGATAAAAATAAAGCAAGCACAAAGCAAAGCTGGGTGAGAACTACGCAGATGCCCTGCTGTGGAGCCCTTCAGCAAGCTTGCGGGGGGTTGCAAATCATGCAGGAGGAGGAGACTGCCCCTCTCTCTTCTGCAGAGCCTGGTGGATTCCAGTTGCAGAAAGGTGCCACCTTCACTTAGCAGCACAACTCCCAAAATAACACGGAAAGTAGTCTAGGAAATGAAGAACCAAACTGACAATTGAAAAAAAAAAAAATGGCCTTCATTTTAAAGAAAACCAGTTAAATTATCAATTTTTTGTTACTATGGCATTCACTAATGCCATAATTCACAACTTCTTGTTATCTCTTTAATGCTGCTTTGGAAAAAGAAGTCCACTTGACAGTAAATAGTAAGAAAAAGTTCAGCAGAATTTCCACAAATCAGAGCTACTTCTTTCACGTGTGTTCACTGCCTTAGGTATCTGACAAATAAATCAAACCAAGTTCCCGAGCACAGGCTCCATGATTCATGGTTTTAGGGAATCAAATCTAGCTCCTTTTCTCCATTATCTATGCTCATCTATTTTTTACTCTCTTTCATTTTCTTTATGTTCAAGAACAAAGTATGTACTTTTAAATATTGATTAAAAATAACTAAAATGGCTTACACTGCTGTTTTAGGTGCATCCAGCAGGCTACACCTCACAGTGACCCTATCTATCAACAACAGATGGAAATCATGCCCTGTCCTGCACCATCCTCATGGTAGTAAAGTGCATTCAAATTGTACTCACTTGGCTGAAACAGTAAAGAGCCCCTGTCCTGTTTTAGAGATACACTAGATCTGTCTCAACTTTTAAAAAAATCTGTATAGGCATCAACGTCATATGGATTCAGTTAAAGAGGAATAAAATTATTTCTTTTGTGAGACAGCAAAGATATTTTAAGCAAGACCATAAAAGTGAAATTAAGTGGATGGATGGGTCACCACATCAGTTTCTGGTACGTAGGACATACTCAATAAATACTTGTAAAACAAGTGAAGAATTTAAGAGAGGTGGCTTTGTAGGGCTAAAAATGTCTATAGAAACTAATATGACTAAAGAGAGATTAATAAATTTTCCACAATGGTTAGAGATCTAGCAATTACTAGGAAAAGGTTGCTTCTAGACATAGACAAGTAACAAAAAGTAGAAAAGAGGATTATGAAATTAAATTCAATAAAAACAAAGGATAATGGGTATCTACCTCCTTCCTTCAAGCTGTCTATCCATCATTTTGGACTAACTTTATCCATAGTTTATATGATATTGGGAGGCTTTATGCTAAATATAAACTATTCACTCACCATCTTTTCTTTTCATATTTTTCTTGCAGAAACTCTTTCACTTTTTGTGGATCCCTGAAGTCTGGAATTGCTGACGATCTATCATCAAATAATCCTAGCCAAATCTGTTTACAGACCTTTGGAAAGAATTAAAGGGGGGAAAAAAATCTTGTTAAATTCAACATCTTTACGTAATGAAATTTCAAGGGGAAATTATCATGGTTTCAGAAAGCTAACCTACTTAATTTTAATACTACTGCTTTAAATGAGGATATTTATTGCAATAATAGCTGACAAAATGAACAAAATTTATTTTAATATGCTATAGTATGCAGGAAAATAAAAACAGAAGCATCCATAAGGAACAGCACTTGGTAGGGAGATAAGCAATGAAACAGGTTTGGATAGGAGGTGGATTGTCTGGACTTAGCATGATTATAAATAAACGGTAAGTCATAGCAAAGTCTCATGGCATCTTTATAAACTTTCGTTCCCTCATACACAGAACAGAGGAACTAGACCAGGATCAATTTTACAGTTCTAAGTTGAAAATCTAACTGAAAAGAGCAAACAAAAAGTACCAGAATCAGAAACAATTTGCTATTCAAACACAACTAAAAAATTAAGTACAAGGTAGACTACAACTCTCTAGCTTACAAATGCCTTCTAGGCTTTTCTGTCCCACAGGTGGAAAAAATGAATCTGGAAGATTTCACATTTTTTTGGAAGAAACAAAGGAGAAATAAGATGATCTGGAACTCAAGTCAGACACAAAAAGAATGATTACAATAGAACTCTAAAGAAAAAAAAAGCACACTTCTGAACTAAATGAAAAACTTTTTGCTCTTCACAAATTTAGTAAAAGAAAACTCTTAAAAAGCAAACCTTCAATTCATCAAAAGCATTTACAAAGCATACACAAATAACAAAGAAGTCCAAGAGTATTGTAAACAGGTCCATTAATGCACCTGGCTGCTAATGAAGGACTGGATGGAGGTGTGAGTGCACCTAGAGATATTGCAAGTAAAAGATCTGTCAATCTACTTCCAAAAACTCAGTCACTGAAAACACTGTAGAGCAGAGTATTGTGGGGCCCTAGTACACTCAGCATGTCCATGAGTCAGAATCTCCGAGAGCAACAAATTTCAGGAGGTATTTCATCAAGAGTGGAGCAGAGTATAATTAAAAACACCTAAACTCAGAACTCCTACAATTCAGTCAGATATAAGAAAAGTCATCCCAATTTTATTTCAAATTGGACAAAGGATTTGAATAGACACTTTACCAAAAATGGTACATACACATGGCAAATAAGCAAGTACAAAGGTGTTTAGCCTATAGGGAAAGCAAATTAAACCTGCAAAGAGACCCCACAAAGTAGACATATGGAATGGCCAAAAATGATAAAACAGACCACATGTTGGTAAAAATATAAAACTGTCAAAAATGTAAAATGTTCCAATCATTTTAGAAATCATTTGGCAATTTTAACAGTAAAACATGTATTAGCCATTCTATTTCTGTGGTATTTATCCAAGAAACATATAAACATGTTAACACTAACACAGGCACATAAATGTTCATAGCAGTTTTACTGCCAATAACTTCTAAATGAAACAATTTAAATGTCTATCTACAAGTGAGTGAAAAATAAAATTGTGGAATATCTTTTTTTAAGTATTAAAACAAAACAAAAATAGTACTAACAAACAGGAAATAATAGACATACACAAAGTTCCATCAATAAGGTATAATCTGACCCAAAAAAGAAAAGACAAAGGAGAAACAATCCTTAATTAGAACGGTCTCAAACATGTATCAATGGTTAAAATTACCTGGAGTACAAAAACCACTGCCTGCATGCACTCAAGCTGGCATATGGATATACAGGGTAGTATTTCTGATAATTACTGCTCAGTGACATCATATGTAAGTAATTGAAAACTTCATTCATGATATTTAGACAAACAAAAACCCTATTCATGCAAGAGAAATAAGAAATCCTGCATTTACACCTTCCTTATCAATTCTGATTTGTACAGAATATATATATGCCAGAGAAATGATCTTCATTTTTAATTTCCCTGTGCTCCACCCTAGACATGCATGAAGGCCTAGAATATTTCAACTCCCAACTCATATATCCAAACATGAAAACTTCACTACTCCAAATTCCCATATTATCTAAGGATCAAGAAACTACAGTCTATGAACCAATAGGCCAGCAGTCTACTCTTGTCAATAAAGTTTTACCAGAACATACCTACATCCTTTTTTATTGTCACAATGCAACAGAAGAACAGAATCATCTCAACTAAGACCATGTACCCAAACATAACATTGTCATTAGTCAGAACCACTGCACAGCTGATGACAACCTCAGAAATGGCTTGGTTTTACTGACAATAATCTCCAAATGGAAACCACTGGGTTTCTGAGTCTGTAAATCTATAACCCGCACAGGAAGAAATTGCCCATCTTTCTCCCAAGGAGAAGCTGGTGGGTTTACACCGCGAGTGGTACAGCCTTCCGGTTAGCAGCACAACTCCCTACAGTCGAGGCCACAAAACTTCCCGATGGCTACACAGAATACAAAATAATAACTGGTCCTTTATAGGAAAAGATGCTGGCTCCTGCCTTAATACGAACTTAGAATCATGAACTTCCTATGATATGATCTCATCATCAGAGAATAATGATGAGTGTTGTTGTTAGGTGCCATCGAGTCCCTTGTTGTTCATAGCCACCCTATGTACAAGAGCCCTAAACCCTGCTCTATCCTTTGCCAACCTCACTGTCTCTGACAAACCTACTCTCATTATCCCATTATCCCAATCACTGAATCAATCATTTCATCAAGGTTCTTCCTCTCTTGCACTGTCCCTTCACCCTCTCAAACATGATGGTGCTCTCCAAGGACTCGTAGCCGAAGCTTCAGAATCCTTGCGTCCAAGGAGCATTCTGGTTTCACCCTCTCTAGTACAAACCTGTTTGTTCTCCTAGCAGTCCATGGTATATTCAACACTCTTCTCCAGCACCACAGCTTAAAGGCATCAATTCTCTATCACCCCTAGTCACTGTCCAGCTCTCTGACACACAGCACACAATTGTGAAGACTACGGCCTGGATCACATGTACCTTAGTCTTCAGCCTGACACTGTTGCTCTTCAGTACTCTGGGAAGGTCCCTGACAGCTGACTTTCCCAATGCCATTTGTCTCTTGATTTCCTGGCTGCTGGTACCAAGACTGTTGGTTGTGAAGCCAAGCAAACTAAAACTGTTAACAATCTCAATCTCTTCACCATCCATAATGATGGTGCCAATTGGCCCAGTGGTGAGAATCTTTGTTTTCTTGATACTGAGCTTCAATCCATATTGAGGCTGCAGTCTTTGACCTTCTGCAGCAAGAACTTCAGGTCCTCCTCAGTTTCAGCAAGCAGGGTTGTGTCATCTGCATAATACAGGTTGTTGAATCTTCCTCCAATCTTGATGCCACATTGCTCCATATATAGCCCAGTGGCCCAGGTGATTTGTTCTGCACACAGATTGAAAAGGTATGGAGACAGAACATCCCTGGCGGACACCCTTCCCAATTCTGAACCATGCAGTATGTCTCCTTGCTCTGTTCTGACAACTGCCTCTTGGTTACAGGATAGGTTTCTCATAAGCACAATTAAATATTCTGGGATTCCCATTTTTCTCAGAATCAGCCACAGTTTGTTGTGATCCACACAGCCAAAAAAAAAAAAAAAAAAGCCTTTGCTTAGTCAGTGAAACACAGAGAGACATTCCTCTGGTACTTACTCCCTGCTTTCTGCTAAGATCCATCTAACATTAGCTATAATTTCCTAGTTCCATGACCCCTTCTAAACCCCAGCCTGGACTTCTGGCAGTTCTCTGTTGATGTGCTGTTCCAGTCGTTTTTGGATGATCTTCAGTAGAATCTTGCTTGCATGTGATATCAGTGATACTGTTCGATAATTTCCATACTCTGTCAGGTCTCCTTTATTTGAAATGGGAACAAATATCAATCTCTTCCAGTCAGTTGGCTCTGTCTTTTGGAGTTTTCACGTTTTATTCAGCTAAGATTCTGTGCTGTTCCTCTGTGCTTTTCCAATGGCAGTTACACGGAGCAGCCTGCTAGTGTGGTCCACAGCATGTTGTCTCTCTAACCAAATGTTACACGGTCCGCTATATTTTGTACTAACTTTTATGACAATCTTTTCTTTTTTAAAAAAAAATTCTTAATTGTCTTGTTCCCCCCCCCCCTTTGGATATCTTTAAAGACTATGGTTCAATTCTTGCCTTTTCTTTTTCATTTTTAAGTAATTTGTTTTACGGGAAAGTTGCAAGTGTAAGAGAAAGGATTCTCACACATTCTTTACTAAAATTTCTCACATTCAGTACATTACCATACGCTCAAGATAAATACTCTGAATTGTTTAAAATAGAAACATGATGAACCTACATGCCTAAGTCTGCATTTTCTTATATATAATCATGGTACAATTCCCCAAATCAGGAAATCATCATCTTCTACTATGATTATCAAATCCACTGACTTCAATTGTCCTAATAATGTCCTTTAGAGCAGAAGGAAACCTTTTCCTTAGCACAGAATCCATTACTGCCATGCTCATTAAGCCATCCCTCTGCCTCCACAAAAAATTTCCAAAAACTAAAAATAAAACCATCCCCAAACAAAAACCTGAAACCAACTGTCCTCCAGTCACGTCCAACTCTCATCTTCAAGGCTTTAATCAAGCGTAGTTTCTTAGTTTGTCTTTCATGAACCTGACATTCTTTTATGAGAAAGGGTCAGTTGTTTTGTAGCATATTTCTTAGTCTGGGGCTGCCTTGTGGTTTCTGCATAACTAAATTCACATCGGTCATTTAAGTAGAAATACCACAGATCCACATTTGTTGTCTATGCCATTTTTAATTTTATTTTAGTAAAGTTTATGAAGTGAATTGGTGCATTAAATCAGAAGAGACATGATACCAATACATACCAATCCTTGCGATAAATGATCACTTGATTAAAATGGTGTATGCAGTTCTCTGCACTGTGAACTAAGTAATTTTCTCTTTTGGATTAATCAAGTATTTTGTGAGGTGATACTGTGAAATTATGTTC